TGCTAACTAAAATTACAAAATATTTTGAATTATTTTCCTTACCTATTTTTATAAATAAATAATATATAAATATTTATTTGATAAATACTAATTAAATAACATATCTCAGGAATTTCTTGATAAAAAACAAGCAAAATATATGTAAACTTTATAATTACATCAATTTAATTTTAGTTAGTCTTCTTTAATGCAAATAGTTAAATTTAAATAATACATTACTCTTTTTATTTTTGTATACTTTGAATAAATGCTACAATCATTATATTTTTAATTAATAGAAAACAATTAATAAAATATATTAAGGTATAAAAGCACAACTTGCTATTATTTTGTGAAATAATTTCTAAAACAAAATTAATTATAAACTTGATTTTAATGAACTACATTATCTTAAAAATTGTTTTTTTAAAACATATTAGAGGGATTCTCGATATTTAATCAAAGTAGCCTTACTTATGACATTAAACAAGAATTAAAACTTAAATTATTACAAATTACATATATTTTATTGAATTTTACAAAATTTATATAGCCATTCTCATTATTAGTCAACTGATTATTATTTATAGATATTAACCTATAATTTTGCCATTTTCTCGAAAAATTTCTTCTCAAAGTTTGAACTAATTATTTTTCTTTAATATAAAAAAAAAACACATTATTTAAGGGAAAATAGATTTAAGAGCTTTATTTATGACTTAAAAATATCATTATTAAATTTATGAAGTATGAACTTACAGCATTAGAATACTCTGAAATAGATCTATAAGTAATTTAAGAAATATATTTAGATGAAAATCTTAATAGATTCTTTTAACATGAAAGAAATAAACAACTTTCTAAAATAATAAAAAGATGTATTGGATGGTGTTAAAACTTCTTTTATACTATATCTGCTGAATAAAATTGATGAAAACTTAGAAAATGCCATCAGAGAGTTATAAAATAACTCCTAGTATGATTGCTCTTAATTGTTGATTTCTGTCAAAGAATTAATGGAAATACAATTTTAATTCAGGTAATTCTATAATAATTTTTAATAGACTTCATTTTAAGTCTTATGAACATTTAATTCACATAATTGAATATACAGATGATTTACTTATTTATGAATAAGTTTTATCGATATTAAAGTACTTTAATGGCAACCTCTAATAAAATTTAACTTTAAGAATTCTTTATTTCTAGAAAATAATATATGATCATGTTAATTCTTTGGCTTCAAGAAAAATAGAATTGATTGATTTTTATTATTAAGATCCTAAATATAAAACGATTACTAGTCATCCAATCGAAGCTTTATAATTTGATATAGAATATTATCGACCAACATAATTAGAGGAAAGTTATGAATACTTATCTCAGAACTAGATTCATAAAATAAGTCAAGAAGGAGAAATTGAAATTAAAGTAATAGTAAAATATTTATAATTTTAGAAAATTACAATTATTGATAATAATTCAACTTCCGCATTCAATTTATCAAGAAATCTATTAAATGTGTATGATTAACACTTTTCACCACTTATTGAGATTCTAAAATATAGAATACTGATTAAAAGAGGATTACTTTCAAAGCCAGAATAAACCAGAAATATCATTATCAAATTACATTTAAAATCTTCAAAATTTTCTGTATACAAATCAATCTAACTAAAATTCAATTAAATATTTCCATTAAAATTTTGAATGGGTTGATAATTTTCATTTATTTAAACTTTAAACAATTGATACACTTGTGTTAAAAGAGTTACTTTTAACTTATTCAAAAAATATTAATTATTTATATAGCTAAAAAAAAGACAAAGAACTATTAGAACTATTTTCTGATGTTTTTTCAATGTAAAATATAGAAAAAAATGAATAAATTATTGGCTATCCTTTAAGATATTCTCCTTAGATAATGACTGAACGATTAGCTGGAAATGACTAGATAACTAGTAGCATCTTAATGATTTTCACATCTCCAATATTTAATAGAAGATTCTTAGTAAAAAATCAATTCGCAAATTAAACATTTATAATTTTAAAAAAAGGTTTGAGTATCTAAGATAATAAATTAATGCTTCCTCCTTAATAATTAATTGCAGCAATACAACTTTTAGGGTTTTTATCATAATGCTAAGATTTTAACAGAAATAATTAGATTTTTGACTATCTTTTAATAATAGCTGAATAATACATTAATTTAAGTCTTACTTTGTAAAAACCAACTGAAAATGGTTATATATAAATATGCCTGAATGAAGCAGATGAAATTATTTAGGGTTTCATTCAAGCTTTATCTGAATGTTTTGATTATAATTTGATTATTAATTAGTTTGGATAACAAAATATATTGAATAATAATCTAAATAGAAATTCTATTTTGGGTACAAAGATTTTAAATTCTAATCTGTTTGGTATTATATTAAGTAAATTATAATCAACAGTTTAATTAAAAAAATCAATTCTAATAACATTTTAATTAGTTAAATTATTTAAAGTTGATCCTGAATTATTAGTCAATGTTATTAATACCAATTTACCTGATTTCTTGAATGAAATTATTTAAAAAATCAATATTGTTGAATTAGAAACAGATTAAATGATTGATATTCTTGATTTTTATTTAAGTATTTCTTTAGAAGAAAACGGATATCAAAAATTTTATAATCATGGAATAAATTTCATTAAAAGGTTATTATATTATCACTTAATTACTCGAGAACAAATTAATCATTGGTTTTTGGTGGAGTTAGGAACTTCAATAAAATTTTATATATAAGATTCAATAAATAAAGAACAAAGTATAGCTTTAATAAATCAAATAGTTTTAAATGTATTATAATTATCATTATAATAATTATCTGATAAATAAAATCAATTAAACTATGATTAGAACTTTAAATCAGAATATTTAAAGATATTTGAGAAAAAGAGAGAAATAGAATGTTTTTTGTTCACTTTATCTTGGGAAAATAATATTTTACTCTCTGAAGGATATTTCGAAATTTTTGTGATGATATTCAAAATCCCATAATTTAATACTTTCAAATTTTTTGGTCTTGATCCTTAAAAATGCCTAGAAAAAGCATTAGAGTTAATAGAATCATGGGAAACAGAATTGGGATGCTCCTTGAACGACGCAAAATTTTTGTTTTCAAATGAATAATAATTCTTAGAGAAATGCTCTCCTTAAAATTATTAAGTAACTTCTCGGTTTTCTGAAATTTTACATTATTTTAATTAAGTTAGAAATAAAATTTAAAATATGAGATTAAATGATTAAACTTTTAATGTTCACTTAATAAATAAATGTATGGAAATATTTGAAATTCTAATTATCTCTCAATTTTGGATATAGGAGGAAAAGATAGATATATTAAATAATGGAAATCATCCATGTGCATACTTACTTGTTATAATTATCGTGTTAATTACAAAAATTTAAGATAAAAACAAAATTGCTTAATCTGTAAGTAAATTTTTTAGTAAAATTAGTTTATTATTAAAAAATATTCCTGAAATAACTCCTTAAATTTTTAAATAAATCATTTTTTTATTAGAATTTTTTTAGGCTGTTGATTTTGAGATTCTTGATTTTATTATCAATTCTGATATAGGCTAAAATTTGTAAGATAGTCTCAAAAATTACATTATTACAATCAACTCTGTAAATTAAAATTTACAAATAATATAAGATTTTGACAAAAATTTTCTAAATATATTGAAATTATTATATGGCAATTCTAGATAAAATCATAGTTTATCAACAAAAAGAAAAATGATTCAGGATATTTCAAATTTGATTTTAATTATATAAGATTCACAACACGAAAACATTGAATAAATTAAGTAATTTTTATTGATTTAAGGATATTTTATGTAAAGTCAAAATTTTATGGATTTAAAAAGAAATAATCGTTCTATTAATTCAGAAAGGAGAGACTAATTACGTAAATAACTTGAAAATATTGAGTTCGAATCTCAATATATAAATCTTATCCTTAATTTAAATCCTCATGAGTTGACAGCGTTTGATTTTTTAAACTTTGAAGCAATGAATAGATAACATCTTGATAAATTCATTATTCGATAAAACCTATAAATATTGAATAATAGATAATAGATTGATGAAACAGATAAGGAACATTAGTTGATCGAAATCGAATAAGAATCTCTTAGGATATATCTTAAGAAAAATACTTTTTTTTTTTCAAATTCTTTATTAGGTATATTAGAAAAGTTGGATATACAATTTTATGAACAAGAACTCTTTTAATTTTTAGAATTAATAGTTGATCGTTCTTTCAACTTAAAATTAAATTTTACAAGAATTACATAAGATAAATAATATTTTAAATATCACAAGATGCAAATATTAATAGTTTAATAGTAGTGTTATACTTGATTTAGAAATAAAAAATTTTTTCATAAGATCAAGACTTACTTATAATTGAATTTCTTAAATTACTTGATGTTTTGCTAAAAAAAGAGGATGAAAAAGCATATTAAGCTATTTTTTTGACCCTAGTTATATTAAACAAATTAAATACAGATAATAAATAAATTCTTGCTTAAATATTAAAGGGCACAAAATGCTGCTTTGATTCTAATGTTTCTAATCATTCAACTCCACAAATTTGTATTGATATTTTAGTAAGACTTTTCTAAAAGGAAAGATAATATATAAATCTATTTATTTTTTAAATGAATGGTTTAGAAGCGTTACTTAAATTGAAAGGAAAAATTATTTATACTCAATTTTTACATCTGTCAAAATTAGCTATGGCTATAATTTATGATTAGACTTTAGTCAGAGTCTAATTTGAAACTCAAATAAAGAAAATACTATTTAATTAAGAACAAAATATTGAAATCCAAAAAACTCATTAAAATTTATAATAGCAAAATTATTAAAATTTAAATACATATCCTATTTGTTTTTAACCAGTTTACTATAATGTCTAAGCAAATTAATAATTAAAAATAACTAAAAATCATCCAGCTTTGCTTGCCCTATAAAAAGAGAACATTTATTAGGAAGATTTTAAATATATTATGAATTTATTATTTGAAGAATCAGTAAATGATGAATATTTAGTTTTAAAATAAGGTATTGCTCTAGATACATTAAATAGTATCAATTAAAATGGAGATTCAATCTTACAATTTAATTTCAAACATAAATAAGAGACATAAACTCTTTTAAGACTTTTAGTTTAATAAATGATTAGATCATATTTTGAAAATAATCAATAGTATCAATATAATTGGAAAACGATATTTGATGTTTTAAAGCTAATTATTTAAAAATTTCCAATACTCTTACCATAACTTTTAAGAATTAATTGTAGCAAGTTTCTTGAAAAATATATCAATTTTATTGGTTCTAAAATTTCATTCTTGACTATATTAACGAGAATTTTGAATCCATCTAGGAGTTTTATATTTTATATATGTTTGGATAATTTAGTTCTTTTTAGAAAATCTGATAATATAATTGTTCCTTTTGCATATGAAATTAGAAGATTAGTAATAAGGGAATTATTTGTTGAGATTAATAAATCTATTCAATATTTAGACGAAAAAGTATGCCGGTTATCTGATATTTTAGTGACTTTATTATAAATAAAATCTGTTGCAAAAATTTGTATTTAAAATATTAACGAGCCTTTTAACTCATTTAATTTTATTAAAACTTACATAGATGGAATCAAAAGCTTCAATATGAAATAATATTTTATTTTCAAAAATCAATTATTTTTCATAATAAAGACTCTGAATATACTTTATAGCGTTGCTATTAATTTAATTTTAGATAAAACTGAATCAATTAAAGTTGATTCTTTTTAAATGAACTCAGAAGAGATCAAGCAATAAATATTTTAAAACTTAATGTCACATTTTCAAGATGGAGTGATACAGAATCCAAATATAAGTAACCTTGTTTCTTAAAAATGGCCACTATTAACAATTAAAAAAGGAGAATTTGATGATTATTTTTAGATAGAAGAAGAATAAGAAATTCCATCTGATTAATAAATAATAATTGAAAATTATGAAAACTCTCATGAAATTTTAGCTGCAGCTTTAGAATAAGAATCAATAAATTGGGTAGATGAAAATGATTAGGTAACAGAAAATTTCCATTCAAATAATTTAGGGGATTAATATACCCTCCATAACCTTCATATAGATGATAAATCAGATTAATCTCTTTGGAAATCTGGATTTTTTAATATAGATTTAAATATATAACTACCTTTCTAATTTTAAAAAATATTAATAAAATTCTAATCAATATTTAATAATAAATTTTAGAAGGAAGAAATATATTTAAACTAAATGGATCAAGTAGTAAATATTGCTAATAAAAATTATGAGAATGATATTTTATAAATTAGAGATTAAGAGGAATAATTCCAATTATTCATCTAATAAGAAGATGAATTGTTATAAGATTAATTAGAAGATTAAAATTAGCAAAAAACATATTCTATAATTAAAAATAAGATAAAATCTGTACTGAATAATAGAAAATAGTCCCTAAAATTATTAGGTTTAGTTGATCGATAATTTTTATAACTTATAATTTAATTTTTGTAGGTAGATGATAATTTTGAATCTTAGGATAACTATATAAATTAATTTTTGATGAATTTAGGTACTTCATCTTTAATAGCTAATTAAATAATTGATTATCTTATTAATAATTTGAAAATGATAAGATAATAAGATTTTGACCAAGAAATGTTTATTATAACAAGAAATTAGATAGTAAGTGATTAAAATTATTTCTCAAAGTTTATTTCGCCAAAAATTTTATAAACTTTATTAAAAATCAAAAAAGCTTCAAAATGTTGTTTATCATCTTAAAATTTTGAAACAATGACATAATTATTATTTAAACTTGAAGAAAAGGATGAAGAATTGCTCATTTAAGTGCTCTCAACCTCCATAAAGAATTAATAACTTATAGATGAAGTAAATGTTAATCTAATTCATGATTTATTCAATTTATTAATGAAAGCGAAAAACAAATAAAAAATTTTGAAACTCATTAAGTTTGTATCAATTCTTTTGAAAAATAAAAGCAATTTCATAAGATTTAAAGTAAAAATATAAAACTAATTAAAAAAATTCATTATGAATTTTGAAAAATACTTACTAGAAAGAAATACAAATGATTAAATTACAGATTAAGAAGATGGAATAAAAAAAATATTTTAACTTATTTAACAACATATTTATTATAATTTTACAATTGGAAACACTTCTTAAGAAAATGAATGGCTTGAGTTTTTAAAGTAGCCTGAACTTCAATAATTATGGATGAATATGGAAAAAATTATATCTAACATTCAGCCTTAATAAGTTTAAGAATATAACTTATTTTTATTGCCTTATATTGAATCTTTTTTGATTTGTACTGAAATTGTTAATTAAAATGAAACTTAAAGTTATGAAATTATAAAATTATCTTCAATGGAATTATCAAGTTCTTCATAAGATCATATTGATTTTAACTTTAAAAAATTATTCAAAAAACTGAGCTAAAATGGTAAAGATTATATCAATAGCATTATAATAGAATAAATTGAATTTACAAGCAGACAATAAAATAATTAATCAAAAAAAAGAAGTTTAGTGGAATATTTTCTTTAATTTCATCCAAATATAATCAATTTTGAAGTTAAGAAGGAATATTTGAGATATAAAATTGATCCTTTAAGATCAATGAATCAGGAAATATAATTAGAACTCTTTTTAACCAATTAGCAACTTACCATATATGTCAACATGGATACAGTTTTTGAAGATTCATACAGATAGATTAGCGCTTTGAATACTAATTAACTCAAAGTAAATTTAGCAATAAAATTTGTTGGATAATAAGCTTATGATCATGGAGGCCTAAAAAGGCATTGGTTTTAGATACTTTCAAAGGAATTTCTAAATCCAAAACATAAATTATTTATACATACTCCTAATCGACAATTTTATTAGATAAATAGGGAATCTTATCTTGATAATGATCATCTTAATAAATTCAAATTTGTTGGAAAGATTTTTGCAAAAGCTATAATGGATGACTGTTTAATTCATGGAGAATTTCCTACCTACTTTTTTAAACATATTTTGGGTATAAAGTTGTCTATAAATGATATGTAAGATTACGATGTAGAGGAACATACAAGCATGAAATTCATTTATGGTGATAATGATATTTCCAATCTTGATTGTGTTTATACATATTGCATTAATAATAAAGGATAAGTTGAAGAAAAAGAATTAATATAAGGAGGAAAAGATATTTAAGTTACAGACGAAAATAAAAAAGATTATATAAGAAAATATTGCCATTAATTTATGGCAAAAAACATTGAGGACCAAATTAAAGCTATTTAAGAAGGATTTTATTCAGTAATACCTAAAAATCTTATTGCCATTTTTGATTCAGCTTAATTTAAGAAATTGTTATGCGGTTAGCAATAAATTAATGGTAAATTATATTAAATTAGGTTTTAGTTGAGAATCTTATTGAGAATCTTAGTTATAATAAAGCTGATATTAAATTTATTAAATGGCTTCAAAACATATTAAGAACATTCAATTAAGATATGCTTGCTAAGTTTATAAATTTTGTTACAGGTAATATATTAAAGCATCTTTAGGTACTTATCTTGTACCAGCTGGAGGATTTTAAAATTTAACAAGACCAATCTAAATTAAAATAACCAATAGCAATTCTAAATTTCCTGAAGCATATACATGGTATAATTCTATAGTATTTTACAAAGTTAAAAACTTTTAGTAATCCCAGCTTATGATTCTGAAGAAGTCTTAAGGGAAAAATTAGAATTAGCCTTATTTGATGAAAATAACAACTTTTAGAGAGGATGATTTATCATACATAAAATATAAATAAAAAATTTCATAAGAAAATTATTAAATTTCTCTTATTTAAAAAATAAATTAATTTACTATTTGTCGTGTTTGGAATATATTTTTTAATTTTTAGTTTGAATATCTTTAGTTTTACTAGACATACCAGGGAGTTTGGTTTCTTGATAATCTATTTATATTTTTGTAGTTATTATCAGAATTTAGCTTTTATTAGGAAATTCACATCCATTTTTAATAATTTTAAATATTCTCTTTTATTAATAATGCTTAAACAATTTTCATTGCGATTGCAAATGATTATAATAATGTACTGATCTGTAGTATTAATTTAATAGTCGAATTATCTTTATAATAATTTGAGTAACACTAATCACAATTATTAATATTTAAACAAACTAAAAAACCTTCTATACAATTTTAAAATTAATTATTTAAGTAAAAATAACCAAGCTTACAATGGTTTTTCCCAATAAAATTAACACATAATTTTAATTCAAATAAAATTAGGACTAAGTTAAAGAATATTAAATACAATGTTTATTATACTAAAAATATCATTCATCATTCCAATTTCATATCCCTCAATTCTATATCCTAAATTATGATCATCATTATAAACTTTATTAATTGTTAATCTCAGTCTTAAAATAATATTAATTTAAAATTATCCATCATAAATTTCATATTTAGAAGAATCTAATTTAATAATTGTCTAATTTATGTATTTCCTATTAATCGATCATAATTTGTCAAAATATAATAACAAGATGGATAATTTAAATTATTTGATATAATAGCATAAGATAATCTTCCAGTAAATTAACTTAACATAATTAATTCTTACCCTTTGTCTTTATGTTAATAAAGTCTTCCTTAAATATGTTATATATTTTATTCAAGCAAAGGTATTTCATATATTTACTTTTGTATATTTTCCTTATTTTTAATTATAAAATTCAAATGTTGTTTTTTTTAAGATACACAATATAAGCAAAAAGCATTAGTATTTGATGTTGGTTCAAAAGGATAAACAATATGATATTCAATCACTTCACTTATTCAATCGATGTTTACAGAAATAATCATCATACTCTGCATAATTTCTTTCTATTCTATAAAATATATAAATATCTTCCTTATATTAATTATTAATAATTTGTGTAATATTATTTTGAATATATATTATATATTATAATATCCTTATTTTATCATGATATATCTTTGATTCTCACTTTTGAATTGCACAAATCCACATATGGATACAAATCTTAAGATTATTCTACACTCGCTTCTATTATTACTATATCGTTAATTTTAAATTGAAATGCCTTTCCTTGAGTATTATGAGTATGATGAAAATATGGCTCAGAATTATGAAATAATAAGTATGATCTATTATAAAATTAATAAAATTGAATACCCTTTTCCTTAACCAGCACCTATGTAACCTTTTTATTTAACAATTTCTCTAAATCCAATTCCAATCAAACACTCTTTTCCAATTCCCAGCATTTCGAATGCAAAGCGTATTTTACCAGTCTTAGGAATTACTTGTTTACACATACAATTACCCCATATACCTTCACCGATTTCAATAATCTTTCCATTATCACTTATCTAAATATCATTATGTTTTAGGTGAAAATGTTAAATTAGGATACATTTAGATCTAAAGGTTGTTAATAAAATTTTATGGTCATACCTTTAATTACCAGAAAAGTTTTAAGAATTAATATGAAGGGGCAAGAGAATAATCATATCCAATTTCCTCTAGGCTAAGAATTTAAATAATTATGGCTATCTTATAATGTCTAATATTGTTGGCTACAATTTTCTAATATCATACAGTAATTATTTTCAAAACCATATATGACAATCTTTCAATTATGCTCTCCAAATCAAGTCTAATGAGAATTTTTCATTGTATTTCTTAATAGCTGCCATTTAATTTTCTTTGAATTTTCTTTTTATACAATTTACCCATTTTGGTCATTATTTTTTAATTTTAGGTCTTCAGTTTCAAATTTCTCAATATTTGTATTTTAGTCCATTTAAATATTTGAAAGTATTTAAATACATTTACTAAATTCTGTAAAATCCTTAAACTTTTATAATTTTGAATTAAGTTGAACTTCTATGATTAATTAATTTAAAAAATGTTATTAATGAAAGGATTCATTTAGAGATTTTTTGGATCCTTTATTAATTTATCTAATTCTTCAAAGAAACTATATTTGTATTTGTTTAATGATGATCCTATTATTAAAATATTCTGAATCCAATTATTTACAATCTTAATTAATTAATCTAGTTATTAATTAATGATTCGATTTACTTTACATTAGTTATCGTTGTATCCTCAATATTGGTAAGTTTCTTCTTTTATTCATTCTCAATGATCTAAATGACTTTTTTAAACCCCATTGTTTTAGCTGTTGTTTCATTAAAATCTAAGCATTTATTACATAAGAGCCTCTAATAGTTTGATAATTTTGGATCAAGAACTACAGTAAGAATTGACTAATTGTGTTTATAAGCACATTGTCATTATTTTTGATTTTCTATCATCTCTAATTAATACATAAATTTAATTAATTGATAAAAGATAATTTATTTTTGCTTTATAAATACCAAAATTTTATATACCAATTAAACGTAATTTATATGGCAAGGAATATAAATAATTGAATGAAAACATATTGGCAAATTAAATTTATATATAAATTAATATGATAATAAATTAAACTAATCAATAGGTGTGTGTTAAATCATCAATATAGAACATCCAAAAGTATACCCTAAAGAAACAAAAAGTAGAAGGGAGAGAACATATAAAGCTTCAGGGTTGCTCTTACTTGGAATAGAGTTATTCTAAGTTGGTTTCCTATTTCTATTGATGTATCATCTGCGGCTATAAAAATTTTAATCAGAAGTTAATAGAAGAGGAGATAATCGCATAGATCAAAAATATAGACCCAAATGAGTGAAGACTCTGTAGAACATTTCTATATATTACAATATCTCAAAGACAACTTTTCATCTTCAATAAATATTCTCGTAGATACATTGAGGCAATCTCCTTCCATGTTTTTATTTAAAGGTTATCCTAGTTGTGAAGTTTATGAAACTAATGAAGTGAGCGGTACTTAGCAGAATCAGGCAACTATATAAAGAAGCCCTCTCTAATGGAACAAAAAATAAACCATAGTTTTCCAGAAACATAAGTGCTGAGTCTCGTTCTTAAGTGATAGAATGATTCTGGAATAAGAATAGCGAGAGCCATTATGAATTATAGATCACCATTCTAAGCTCTCCAATTTACCTGAACAATTTATCATAATTCCATTCTTGGATTCAGGTTAACCCTTTAAAACCCTTGGTGCTAGAGGATTGTAGAGGAGATAAACTTAGGGTCATCGAAATCGATGCAATTTCATCTTAGAGGTAATAGAAATGAAGAAAGAATAGATATAGATAATCAACTACGAAGTTCAGCCTGGTGATAATAAAATTATATAATAATTTCGAATACATAATGGTAAATAAATACGATACCTGAGTCAAATACTTTAAAATTATATAATTAATAATAGGGTACTATAATTGTAATAATCATAAATAAAAAGTTAATATAAGAGAAAAGTTGAGAGCACTCTGAAGACATTTTGGCTTGAGATTAAAATGAAAAAAATCATTCAAAAAGAGTATTATGCACAAAGTATATGGCTATAAAAAAATGAAATGATGCATATTCAAGATTCAATCAATCAGATTAAATCAACTAAATAATTACTTAAAGAAGATAGAACAAATTTACTATTAAGTAATTTAGAAAACATGAATAAATTAAATGAAAGTGTTGAATTATTGAAGAATCTTTTACATTTAATAGATTGAATTAATTATCATTTCTATTAAAAAGTGGACTTAATATTCAAAATGTGGAAAAAGTCATAAATAAGAGATAATCTAAAGAATATTATGATTATTAATTATTTATTGAATTCATTAAGGAACAATAAAATACTTAAATTCAAGTTAAGATTGACTTTAAAGTTAATATTCAGAATTTATTATCTTCATTAACAGAAACAGGTTTAATTATAAAATGTCAATTATTATTAGAAAATCAAATAACAAAACCTATTTTTTTAGAGAATTGTGATATGAAAGATAATGAAGATATAGAAGAAGTTTAACATTTATTAATTTAGGAACTTAATTTATTATATGAAAATCATAAGAAATAAATCACATTATTTGATCTTTGTAAAGAGAGAACAAGTTGAAAACGTTTTGGTGTTTAAAATGTTCAGATGGTACGATTAAATGTACTTCTATTTATACAGTTCATCAAATTTGGAAATAAATTCAATAAAAAATTAGAAAAAATGAATTAAAATGCTGATGTATTTTAACTAAAAGTAAACTGTCCTAAGGATTATTTATAAATAATAGAAAGGATGTATTTCTGCAATTGAAAATACAACAAATTAATTAAATATTATTAATTAAGAATATTCTAGTAAAGTTAATTCTACAACTAATAATTTAATTAATACATCTTGGAAACCGTTGTCTAAAGAAGAAATTATTAAAATTGCATAAGATTTAAGCTATTAATTAATAAAATAGTTATTAAAATCCATTATCAATTGAAGATAATAATTAAGATAATTAAATAAATGAAATTCTTAAAGACACTGTTTTACGTTTATAAGAATGTTAACGAACTTAATTAAACAAAATAAATGGTTTAATTAATAATTTATTAATAGTTGATAATATTTAAAGTAAAATTAAAGAAAGTACTTAAGCAGTAGAATGTTAAAGTATTATATACACAATTGATTAATAATGAACAAAACCAATCGTCTTAGAATTTTAATTAAAAGAGTTAGATTTATCAATTCATCTTAAAAATCAAAATAATTAAGATTTCAAACAAAAATTAAAGAATAATCAATACCATTCACTTATAATTTATTATAAAATAATTCAATTAAATAGCCTGAAAGGTGTGGAGCAATTGCATTTAATAAAGATAATTGAATTATAGCAATTAGTAGTGAGTAATAGATCAAAGTATTTGAATTTAATCAAGAATAGTTGAAATAAACTCAATATCTAAGTGAACATTCAAAAGAGGTTGAATTTTATTAAGAAATCAAATTAATTTATATCAGAAATTTAAGATAATTATATTATAATATGGTAAATGAATGAAATTAATGGATTTGTAAATAGAAATTAAATGGGCATTCAAATAGAATTTATTGTTTTAATATTGAACAATTATCTTGTCTTTCAGAAAAAACATTTAAATGAATTATTTATTGATTTTGGAACAGTTTATTTGGATTAATGAGTGATAATGGAGATTATTTGATTACATCAATTGATTTTTTTTTTAAATTATTTCTCCATAATGTTAATTGAAAAAATTAGTTAGGTTATAAATTATGCTATTTAATAGGTATATTATTACAGCAAAAAACCTAAGAAATCATTATCAATAAATTAGTAAATGAGATGACAATCCATCTTTCCATGACACCTTCTATAATTAGGCCCAATAAAAATACTTTGNAATAATCATAAATAAAAAGTTAATATAAGAGAAAAGTTGAGAGCACTCTGAAGACATTTTGGCTTGAGATTAAAATGAAAAAAATCATTCAAAAAGAGTATTATGCACAAAGTATATGGCTATAAAAAAATGAAATGATGCATATTCAAGATTCAATCAATCAGATTAAATCAACTAAATAATTACTTAAAGAAGATAGAACAAATTTACTATTAAGTAATTTAGAAAACATGAATAAATTAAATGAAAGTGTTGAATTATTGAAGAATCTTTTACATTTAATAGATTGAATTAATTATCATTTCTATTAAAAAGTGGACTTAATATTCAAAATGTGGAAAAAGTCATAAATAAGAGATAATCTAAAGAATATTATGATTATTAATTATTTATTGAATTCATTAAGGAACAATAAAATACTTAAATTCAAGTTAAGATTGACTTTAAAGTTAATATTCAGAATTTATTATCTTCATTAACAGAAACAGGTTTAATTATAAAATGTCAATTATTATTAGAAAATCAAATAACAAAACCTATTTTTTTAGAGAATTGTGATATGAAAGATAATGAAGATATAGAAGAAGTTTAACATTTATTAATTTAGGAACTTAATTTATTATATGAAAATCATAAGAAATAAATCACATTATTTGATCTTTGTAAAGAGAGAACAAGTTGAAAACGTTTTGGTGTTTAAAATGTTCAGATGGTACGATTAAATGTACTTCTATTTATACAGTTCATCAAATTTGGAAATAAATTCAATAAAAAATTAGAAAAAATGAATTAAAATGCTGATGTATTTTAACTAAAAGTAAACTGTCCTAAGGATTATTTATAAATAATAGAAAGGATGTATTTCTGCAATTGAAAATACAACAAATTAATTAAATATTATTAATTAAGAATATTCTAGTAAAGTTAATTCTACAACTAATAATTTAATTAATACATCTTGGAAACCGTTGTCTAAAGAAGAAATTATTAAAATTGCATAAGATTTAAGCTATTAATTAATAAAATAGTTATTAAAATCCATTATCAATTGAAGATAATAATTAAGATAATTAAATAAATGAAATTCTTAAAGACACTGTTTTACGTTTATAAGAATGTTAACGAACTTAATTAAACAAAATAAATGGTTTAATTAATAATTTATTAATAGTTGATAATATTTAAAGTAAAATTAAAGAAAGTACTTAAGCAGTAGAATGTTAAAGTATTATATACACAATTGATTAATAATGAACAAAACCAATCGTCTTAGAATTTTAATTAAAAGAGTTAGATTTATCAATTCATCTTAAAAATCAAAATAATTAAGATTTCAAACAAAAATTAAAGAATAATCAATACCATTCACTTATAATTTATTATAAAATAATTCAATTAAATAGCCTGAAAGGTGTGGAGCAATTGCATTTAATAAAGATAATTGAATTATAGCAATTAGTAGTGAGTAATAGATCAAAGTATTTGAATTTAATCAAGAATAGTTGAAATAAACTCAATATCTAAGTGAACATTCAAAAGAGGTTGAATTTTATTAAGAAATCAAATTAATTTATATCAGAAATTTAAGATAATTATATTATAATATGGTAAATGAATGAAATTAATGGATTTGTAAATAGAAATTAAATGGGCATTCAAATAGAATTTATTGTTTTAATATTGAACAATTATCTTGTCTTTCAGAAAAAACATTTAAATGAATTATTTATTGATTTTGGAACAGTTTATTTGGATTAATGAGTGATAATGGAGATTATTTGATTACATCAATTGATTTTTTTTTTAAATTATTTCTCCATAATGTTAATTGAAAAAATTAGTTAGGTTATAAATTATGCTATTTAATAGGTATATTATTACAGCAAAAAACCTAAGAAATCATTATCAATAAATTAGTAAATGAGATGACAATCCATCTTTCCATGACACCTTCTATAATTAGGCCCAATAAAAATACTTTGATTTCAAACTAATTATATAGATCATTCTTTTTTATGAGATTTATCGCGCTTGATCAATGTACTTTATTGATGAAAATAAGAGCTCTATAAAGGAATTTAAACCATATTTAACACAAAAAAGGGGAAATACGGTGCTTTGGTTGAATATTAGAAAATAGTTGATTAGCAATTTTGCTCTTTAACTAAAGATAAAAAAATTTCTTTTGCATTTTGAAATATCAAATCAAAGATGAAACAATTGATGCAAAATGAAGAATAATGTTGAATATTAAGATGAAATTAATATCACACAATAATAGATTATAAGAATTAATATTCTCTAATAATGAAATTTTCAGAATTAAAAAATATAGCATCAAACAAATTATTCTAGGGGTAACTTTAGAGGAAAATATCTTATTAGTTTACTAATCTATAAAATAGAGACATTGGACAACTATACTTAGAAAATTTATTGTAAAATTAAAGGGTTTGGAATCAAGAATGAAATGAATTGCAACAATATGTATCAGCCTTAATAGCTATCATAAACAATTGGCTTCTTTGTTGATGACTGTAAAAAAATTGAAAGCTTGCAAGTATGTAAAGAGGGAATAATTAAATTATGGAGTGTAGGAATGATTAGTGAAAAAATATGCAATCCATTAAAAATTTGGATTAGAAGTTTGCAATGATTTTAAATTGGAGGAATAGGATTTGGAATGCTAATGAAGGAATTAAAAAAGTGAAATTAATTATCAAAAAAGATAAATTAATTGGTATGAACAAGAAATTAAACTAAGATTTGCACAAAATATTTAATGAGGGACGTATAACAGAATTAGCATTAAAAATTTCTAAATACTGACATAATAATATCGAAGCTTTGATATTTATCTAAGGTCTCTAATTAATATTTTAATATCGAATCTGAGTAGAGAACTGTCTGAAAAAAAATATGGGAATTTGTCGTTATTTTACAAAAGTTTAATTAGTGTTATTATCCAAATAAAATTAATTTGTTTTGGAAATAAAAAGTTCTATAAAAATAAAAATTAATTTAAATATGATATAAAGTTCTGCTTGTAATTTTTCTAAGCAGCTAATCTATTAATGCAGACAATAATAACAGTGAGCAAGTTGAACACTAAGGTTTGATAAACTATTCTGAAAAAACTTTGTAATTTCGGAAAATTAAGGAAAAGTATTGTCAACAGACATACCATTATATCAGTCTTATATTCTACTCTAATATTTTATAGGTATAGCAATT